CATGAAAGAGAAAGAGTTGGTTGATACACTGTTCAAGTAAATAATTAAAATCGCTTTTTTCATTGCTTTCTTCTTTATTACCTCAAATTGTGGGATTGGCATACCATCACTAGGTAGAGCAATTTAATATTTATCCCTTGAAGATATGGCAACACACTTATTCGTAAACAACTCGCTTGGCCATTCACATGGCAACAAAGTATCTCAAATTTTCCAATTTTAGGAAAAAATTAGCTTTGTATCAAGTTTTATTTTGGTGGAAATATTTTGTTGTTACATAGATATATGAGGCAGTGCCGATATCCTTGTTCTGGGCCCCAACTAGCCTGTGAATACTGCCACTTCTCCCTGCTCTTCGACTCAAAGACAGACAACCGGTTTTTAATCTGGCCAGGAGCTCTGATTACTCAATTCAGCTTTGCCATTGTTTATGAAGAAATGACAAGACCATAAAGGTCTAATAAATCCAACAACTTTACACTTCGAACCCCATGACAGCCAGATTTATTATGAGATACAATGAAATATATGAAGTTCATATATTTTGTACTGCGGTATTAGATACATATGATGCACGATCCTCGCAGTAGATAGCGCTATTTAAGCAATAGCGAAAATCAGACCTGAAAAAAATCAGGCCTGTACGGGATTCGAACCACTGACCTCTGCGATACTAGTGCAGCGCTCTACCAATTGAGCTAACAAGCCAACTTTTTTTCAGGTCTGATTTTCGCTATTGCTTAAATAGCGCTATCTACTGCGAGGATCGTGCATCATATGTATCTAATACCGCAGTACAAAATATATGAACTTCATATATTTCATTGTATCTCATAATAAATCTGGCTGTCATGGGGTTCGAAGTGTAAAGTTGTTGGATTTATTAGACCTTTATGGTCTTGTCATTTCTTCATAAACAATAGGCAAAGCTGAATTGAGTAATCAGAGCTCCTGGCCAGATTAAGAACCGGTTGTCTCTCTTTGAGTCGAAGAGCAGGGAGAAGTGGCAGTATTCACAGGCTAGTTGGGGCCCAGAACAAGGATATCGGCACTGCCTCATATATCTATGTAACAACAAAATATTTCCACCAAAATAAAACTTGATACAAAGCTAATTTTTTCCTAAAATTGGAAAATTTGAGATACTTTGTTGCCATGTGAATGGCCAAGCGAGTTGTTTACGAATAAGTGTGTTGCCATATCTTCAAGGGATAAATATTAAATTGCTCTACCTAGTGATGGTATGCCAATCCCACAATTTGAGGTAATAAAGAAGGAAGCAATGAAAAAAGCGATTTTAATTACTTACTTGAACAGTGTATCAACCAACTCTTTCTCTTTCATGTAGCCATAAGAGAATACAAATCACCTTGTCTGTCCGCATCGATCGCACTTGATGAATTACACGCCCGACTTGCGAGATGGTTGACTAAAAAAAGACTGTCCCCTAGTCTCCTGTGAATACGGTTGATTACTTCTTGCTGAGTGTCGTGAAGATGTCGACGGGCCTGTGAGATAATGCCAGGAATTCTGTGGAAAAAATCGCAAATGTAGGCAGCGTCCATTATGGCGTCGCCTTTACAACGCTAAATAGGCTCGTGACGCGCGCGTCGGTCTCGTTCCGAAGATTTTCGGAAAAGCCCAGAAAATCGATGTTTTCAACCCATATATAAGAGGCTGTACTTTCAAGTGACGCATATATATGTTGAACTTTACAACCTGTATTTGTCTCAACGTAAGCTATATCTAAGCAATATTCAACCCATTTATTACACAATACAACATATATTTAGTGATACAACCTATATTTTAGTTTTCAACATTTTTGTCACGCTTGGCGTTCCATACTGTAACGTAACACTTCATATTCAATAGTTCTTTTCTCGTTTTTAAAAGGTGACTACTCCACCGAAAGAAAGATCAGCTTTACAGTGTTCAAACTTGTGATATTGAAAAGTAATTTTCCAGCCCGCAACTTACCGTGCTAGGAAAGTATGTAGCTTTGGAGGAAGCCATAAACTCGATGTACCATTGTTAAAAGATGAGCAAGTTTGACAGGTAGATTGAAGTGAGTGCGGAATTGAAAATCTGATTTTTTTTTTTTTTTTTTCGTAGGAGACGTTCAGTCCTAGGACGTAAGAGTGCAAATCGTATTCCATTCCGCCATCAATGGCAGCCAGGAAATCTGCCCAAGAAATTCTGGCCTCTTTAAGAAACGAGTCGTTCTCTGTCGAGACTGATAAAAAGCTAGCAAGCCATACTGTCGTCCAGGAAGCAAGCTCTGGAACACTCCCTCTCGCAGTTGTGGAACGACTTCTCTGCGAACAGTATCACATAATAGCCTCTGACACTCGAAGCATGGAGCACCTAGTAGCCAGGTTCAACACCAACGAGATCATCCGAGAGTATTTCCAGTACTTTTTGACAGGCGAGAAGATAGCTTTCGCCAAGCTGCTCAGCATGGCAAAAGCTATTAAGCTTTCAGATTCACATCTGGAAAGTTACGAGCCTCGGGCCGAAGCGCAAGCTTATCCGTCGTATCTGTGTCGTCTTGCATATTATGGCGAAGCTCCTCAGATCGCAGCAGCTATAGCAGTGAATTTCCCCGCGTTTGGACGGACGTGTTCGCGTCTCGCAGATGCTCTGAAAAGGAACTACCACATGAAAGAAGAAGACCTGGAGTTCCTTCGATTCTTTGATAGTGGGGATCTAGACGATGGCGCTGTAAAGGTGATCGAGGCTTATAATGCAGAGATTGATAAAGGGACATTCAAGGAAGTTCATTACAGTGAGATCAAATGTGCAGTTCGTCTACTGCAAGCTTATGAAGTGATGTTTTGGGACAGCGTTTACTCTGATCCTTAGATCTCGTCATTCAAACTTTACTAAATGCTTTTGAATTGGTCTAGATTGCTCTCGCGAAGCGACAGACTGCATAAAATGTATGTGCATCAGTGAAATGAGTGCAAGTTTGTTGTTTGTTATATTACTACAATTTATAGCAGTTGGTAAAGAAAACAAAAATATATATGCAAATGATAAGGATACCTAATAAGAACAATTACAGTTTGTAAGTTTAGGTTCTCTCACAAGCAGTGCAAGATAGATAAGGATAATTTTCTCTCTTTCTTTTCTCTTTGGTGACGTTCCTCTGATGAAGCGGCTTGTTTTCTTTTGGCAGAAGTTTGTGTACTCCTGTCACAGTACGGAATCCCGCAAACCTCATGCACAAGGTATGCAAATCATGATGAGCAGAATTATGCAATAGAATAAACCCTCGACTAACGTATTAGACACCGGCAACACCGCCATCAAAAGTAGTTTACACAAGGAAAACTTAAATTATTTTGCAATTCCTTATGTTGCAAATAGCTGGAAGGGACACCCGCGAAATGTTCGGCTTCCCCAAATACGAAATCATGGGTAACAATCGCAAATCTAGTCCAGGACAGAAATATCACTTGTTCTACATTTTTATCATAATAAAAATGTTAAACTGTGCAGTTCCCTGCGGTTAAGTGTGTCTGATATTTCAATTTAGTGTACGTGTAGAATTTCATAACTAGAAATCGTATGCATCACCAGAAATCGGGGACATTTTGAGCCCGTTACGAAATGTCACTAGTATATCGTATTACAGACAATTCAATATGGCGGCGGTGGAAGTGAAGTGAACACGTAAGTTTCTATTTTCGTAAAACCCCGCCAGAGAAAGGGCTGGTACATTACTATCCCAGAAAGCCAAAGGAGACGTCAAAACAAGGTAAATAGCGGCCAAATTGTGCAGTTACAGGGACTTGTGTCTTTCGTGTTCTTCTCTCCTAAAATTGGGGTATTTAAAAGTGGCGTATCGGTCTTTTGAGCTCTGTGAAAATACGAAGAGTCTCCCGGCTCAAGGAAAATTAGTGGGCCAACATATTCGACTGTTTACGAGCGATTTAGTTGAGCAAACTTCTGCAGAATGCATATCGAACTACGCAGTTGAGAATCTTCACAAGGTTGTTCCCACGACAAAAGAATTGTAACACCTAGTCGAAGCAGATTTTAAGAGTTTGTATGGGAAAATGGAGTCAGAATTATCAGTTTACTCTTACACCTTCGGAAAAGGTAGGCTTGAATTTGAGTATTTCTTTTTCGTAGCGATGGACGCTTTGACTGATGCAGGCTGCATCTCCAAGTATGCAGCGAAAGAATATCCCATTCTTGGACAGCTATTTTGAAAAAACAATCCTTTCCCATACATTTTCTTATACTGTTTCGGCGCCATTTTGCTTATAACACGAGAATCGCCTCCGCCATATGGTCCCAAATTTCTAGCAATTGTAATTCTGCTCCTTGATTTCGCGTGAAAATTATTCCTATTTATTTAGTATTATTTATTTAAGAACCTCCTATTCCGTATTAATTTCAATTTTTAACCTGAAACTGAGAGAATCCTAAGATTTTGTTTTACATTTCCCCTTGGCTCGATCGTCAACAACTTTTTTTTCAATTAAAAAGTATTTGGCTCTGAAATTACTAAATGATTATGATAGATCGTCTCGTAAAATGCAAGGTTCGTGGGATCAAAGACATTTTTGATGGCTGATGACGATAACAATACACGGAGAAACGAGACTTAGTTCAGAATCTCTTTACACGACCTCGGGTTACTACTTAAGCCGAGTGGAATCACCTTTACGAGTAATGCTTTAGCAATCAAATGTTTAGAGGCGCTGTAAAGCCGAGTCAGCCCTCATTGCCGGGTAACCCTTGTCAATGACGCGGCCGGAAGGATGGAGGTTTGTAAAATGCTCTCATGCAAAAACTGTCCCTAAAGCAAACCCGGCCGTTTGTACTCAATTACAGACGTTTGATTTTAACTTATGTGCTACTTTTTCGACCTACTCGACTTTGCATTGTTTTCCTTTCTCATGTCATATTTATTGCCCATGGTTACTGTTTTTTTTAGTCTATAGAAAGGTAGGCTTGTGTCAGTCTCGAAGCAAGCCACATCCTTGAATATAGTCTGGAAACTCAGGTCTGTGTGAAATTTAGATTTTTAGTATTCTTTTGCGGCGATTCGACCTGGGTACAAATCGACCCAGGCTAGTGCACATAGGCTCACAGATCGAATGTTTTCTTAGTTTTGTTATTGCACGAAAATTAAAACACAGGAAATTATTCTTGATCAAATTGTTTGACTCGTACACATTTCTTCCCTTAATCATTACGTAACTGTGATATGAAGCGTCAAGCTTCGTTCTCCGTGCTGTTTGAAAGGTAATTAAATCCGACCACTGCAGTGGAGATGTGTTTAATGTTTAGGCTAGGTGTTTCATTCAGTTCGTTTCCTTTAATGAAGCGTCAAGCTTCGTTCTCCGTGCTGTTTGAAAGGTAATTAAATCCGACCACTGCAGAGGAGATGTGTTTAATGTTCAGGCTAGGTGTTTCATTCAGTTAGTTTCCTTTAAAAGTTTGAGTGGCGATTAAAAATGGATTATAAATGGGATGGAAGCATCAAATTGCCTTTGACTACTTGGTTGATTTTAAATCTGATGGAGGGCATCTAAGTTAGCGTGAAATTGTTATCTCGTAACTTTGATCAGGAGAGAAAAAGAGAGATTTAAGGAATAAGGGAAGTTTCGCGAAATGGCTAAATTACGTGATGAGCTTTGATTAGGGAGCAGGCAGGTCTGAATGAAAAAAAAAAAAGGCTAAAACGGCTTTCATCTTTTTCCTACTAATTTCTTTCTCTGGTAGAAAAAAGAAGAGTGTTCTTACTTTAACAATTCTCTTCGTTATTGAGAGTTTAAGTGTCTTCTTTGCTACATTGTACTGATGATAGCGAAATGATCTGATAGCGACATGTTCTGAAAATCTCATTCCATTCAGGTTTCGCAAATTTGACATAAAAAAAATAGGTTATTCGCAGTATTTTTCTCTAGGCAAAAGAAAGCGTAAAATTAGTCGTCGTAAACTTTTAACATCTTTTATCCTCCTCTGGTAAACTTTTTTGGTCATGAAACTACTTACTTTGCCGTAATTAATCTTAGCGATGAATTATGGCAACCTTAGATTTTCTAATGAAATACAACTTTGCCGTCATGGTTGCATCATATTACTGATCTCTTAGATTAACATTATTGATTGTACTTGAACTGTGACTGTGTTGTCAAATCGATGTATGCATTAAAACCTTCTGAAAATTACACAAACTGAAATTTATTGCACGCCCGAAGCAATTTCGTCGGCGAAACACCAAAGCTTTATACTTTGGATTAAATTCGTCACATATTACGAATAACATTTTCAATGTTCCCAGCCGTAGCGTATTTTTAAAAGAATGTGATGATTCAGGAAAAACTGACCTCAGATAATTGAAAGCTCAGATACCTAGGTGACGGAATGCTATTGGTCATGTAAAGGGAACTAGAAGAAACATTAAAGAGAGAGTTCTGTGGTACTTGAACTGCGAACTTCCTTCTCAGCTGGCAATATGAAATCATCAAAAAATCTAATTTAGGATTGAAATCGTACCACAATTTTTACACAAAGTCAAGAATGTAAATATAGATCATATTAAACTCTGTACGTCTTATCAATGACGATAAGGAAAAATATTGCAAAGGTCAGGTACTAATAAAAGACCAAAAAAAAGTGGAGAAGAATTTTTCACTTTTTATTAAGTTGGTAAGAAAATTAACCTTGAAAAAGTTCAGATCTTTGAAACTTCTCCCATGATTACAATGATTTAAATAGCATCCGCAAGAGATATCTTTTAGCGCTATTAGTTAAGTCGCAACAGGGGTAAATACGAATCAAGTGCGTGTAATGAAAAACGTCGAGCCAAGCTTCTGTCTTGCAAATTTATTTTCTTTTAATTTCTTGCTGTTCAGCTGGGGTTAATGGAAAACTCATATCGTTTATCAACGTTTTCTCCCAAGACTGTGCTTACTAAACTATGAAACACCAAAAGCCACCAGAATTGGGGTGATTATTTTTAAGGAATTTTTCCATTCTATAACTTTTTTTAGAGATGACACTGGTTGCACATAAGAATCTTCCACATGCTAATTTGTATGTATAATTAATATCATCAGGCAGTCTTTGATTCAGATATTTTTTTAAACAAAATAGTTTCTAATCTGATCGTGATTTACGTGTTGTCATTCACTAGGCTCCTTAATGGACTTCAACTCGTCGACTCTAACTGAGCCCTACCAGTAAATTAATGTCAATGATATTTGAGTTTTCGTTTTCTCGCATGATATGCAACCGTGGCTATTTACCTATTTCGTATGCGTTCTTATTAAAGGTGCACCTGTTTTCTATCTTAGGTAGCAAATTCAAGTTCATATCGGGAAGCCTGTTTTCAACACTTCTCGATTTTACATATTTTATTTTCTTTGCAGCATCGTTGAATTATCGATCCATTTAATTATCTTCGTCACACCAGCCTTGTCTTTAGTGCAATGCGTTTTTGTGTATTTAGTATCAACCAATTATTATTTGGCCCAGTGCTTTGGTTAAACTCTAAGCATTGCTTAATTCCGGAGATAAAGAAAGATATAAAGTTAGTAAGAGAAGGTATTGGGAAAAAAACGGTTTAGAGCTACTAAGGGCGTGCATGAAAATGGCATAGACGCCTCTGTGTTGCTGGTAAAAGAGCTAAATCACGGTTTGTGACCTCGTCTTTTTCAACATTAAATTTGTTTTGTTTACTAACGTATCATTGCGATTCCAAGGTAAAAAAAAGTGTTTTATCCTGTGGCGACACTGAAATGTATTTGTGCACGATCCTCGCAATAAAGAGCACTATTTAAGCAACAGTGAAAATCAGACCTGAAAAAACTCAGGCCTCTACGGGATTCGAACCACTGACCCGTGCGATACTAGTGCAGCGCTCTACCAATTGAGCTAACAAGCCAACTGGGAGCAGGCCATCAAATTAGTCCGACATAAACCCGTAAGATGATAAATCAAACACAACGAATATATGAAATGTCTAGTTTTGATGATGACGTGCATTAAAAAAATGGAGGGGAGTCCAACGGTGCCATCATCATCTTTCTCAAATTTCACGAAAACCGCTGTTCATCAAACAGAATGGTAACCAATGAAATAAAAAATGTTAATAAAACCAAACCGAAATCAAATAGTTAGAAACAAATATACTTCTTAAAGTTCTGCATTCAACTTCATCCCAGTAAATATGTAAATCACAATGTAAGTTACAAGGCGGGTACAAGAGTCAATTCCGGTAAGTCAGTTGTTTGATCAAACCTATAGTTCATGGAAAAGTACAGTGCTTGCGAGTAAGCTTTATAAAGGAGTAACGATCATTAAAAAAAGACGGAAAGAAAGATGGAAAAAAATAAAAATTGTTGCCTTCTGTTCCATTACTTATACGTTCCTGGTTTTATAGTATTAATTGCATTCACCTTTAGATTTTGCAGTCTCGGTCATTCAATTTGAAACGTAAATTTAATTAATCTTGCTGTAAATTGGTGTTGCTGA